GATTCTGACAGCGATCCAATGTGATCCCCGAAGATAAATGATACCCCTGCAGTCACCACCACTGTAACACAGGTTGGTTACTTGTGTTTATGGGGGAAACCAGGTTTGTGTCTGTATCTGCTCCACAAGTTACAGGTTCAGACCTCCAAAATGACCCTAATACCTGGCAGCACAGCACCCAGCACCCCCACTGCAGGCCATGTCACCCCGCCCCGCGCATACTGACCCCCTAGTGCTGTGCAGTCAGAGGTCAAGTGTTTCTCAGGTTGGGTCTGAGTGACGCTGTGTTGTGCTCTCCATGTTCCGCATGTGAGGGAGACACTCCGGCATTGGGCTTTCAACTTCTGATGAGTTCTCTGAGTGTAATTGTCCTCAGTTGTACCAACAAGTTGCAAATGACAGGATCCATTATTTCCTTAGGCAGGTAGTAAGGAAATATAAATACACCTCTGACCCTGCTAACTGCCTCTGTCATCGTGGATCCCGTAGCTGGGCATGGAAAGGGGGCTGCAGGCATCAAGCTCAACACCCCCAGCACTGCCTTCCTGATGTCTCTGGAATGGTCCTAACATGGCAAGAGAAGTAAAAATAAATATGAATAAATTGGATTAGATCGAACTGAAAGCTCTGTAAGGAAAGACATTATCAATATAACAAACACGCCCTACAGGATAGGAGATAATATCAGCACATATCAGTTCAGACAAAGGGCTAAACCAAAGCCTGAAGTACTAAATGAGAGAAGACCCCACAGTCACATGTGAGAACAAGCACCTGGGCCCTTGTAACAGGTGCTCAGTGATCACCCAGCACTATCTCTAATAAGGCACCTGCTTATACTGTGTCATGACCCCAGCGTCCCCAGAAACTTCCTTGGACTTCTCTGTCCCAGCTTCAAGCCAGAGCGTGTTATATGGCAGGACACATGCAAATAGGGCCGTCCCCTGCTGCTGAAAACAGCCCAGCCCAACCCTGCAGCTCTGCACAGGAGCCCAGCCAGGATCCAGGGGCCACTCGGGTCAGGTCAGATGAGGACACTCGCCATGGAGCGTGGTCTGAGCTGGCTGCTCCTACTGGCTCTTCTAGGGGGTCAGTGCTGGGAGTTGGAGACCATGAGGAGGGGAGGGCACACGAGGGGAGAAGCGGTGGCCAAGAGCCAGTGTCCTGACTGCTGTGTCCCTGTTTGCAGGTGTCCGGTGTGAGGAGAAGCTGGAGGAGTCTGGAGGAGACTTGGTGCAGCCTGGGGGGTTCTCTCAGACTCTCCTGTGTAGCCTCCGGATTTGACTTCAGCAGCTATGGCATGCACTGGGTCTGCCAGGCCCCAGGGAAGGGGCTACAGTGCGTTGCATACATCAGTGACAGTGGTGGTAGCACATACTATGCGGACTCCGTGAAGGGCCGATTCACCATCTCCAGAGACAACGGCAAGAGCTCGCTATATCTGCAGATGAACAGCCTGAAGCCCAAGGACACGGCCGTGTATTTTTGTGTGGGATACACAGTGAGGGGAGCAGGTATGAGCCCAGACACAAACCTTACAGGGACAGGAGGGGACTGGGCAGGGTTTCTGGGGTGTGGTCATCACCCCAGGGGCCCACCAGAGACAGCAGGAGGCACAGGAGGCTCAGAGCACAGAGCACAGCCAGGAGCAGGTGCAGGGTGGGGCAGGGGCCTCCTGCCTGGGGCTCCCTCTGCAAGGCCTCAGCTCCCCAGGGGCCACTGCTCTTCTCTGAGAGGCTCCTGCTCCCCACATTCCTGGGGAGCCCACAGGGAGGAGGTGACTCTGTACAGACCAGACCTCCCCAGGGAATAGACCCTGCATCTGTTGCTGGTGTCCAGGCAGGTTCTTCACCAGTCCCAGTGGTGAGAGTGAGTGTAGTTTCTGTTCATCAGCCTGTGCTCTCACCTCCCGGACCCACAACTGTGGTCTGCATTGGAGACTCTGGGATGTTGTTACTGAGATGTCCCTCTCGCCATTCTAACATGTACTGACCTGCATTTCTGACAATTTTACGTTTGCCACAGTCATTAACACCTGTGCAATTTGCATGATTTGTGCTCAAGTTACACTGATTGAAAGTCACATGTGTACCATGATTTGGGGGAACCAGCTCACACCTCCTGTCTACAGCCCAGGGCCCTGGCTGGATCCAGGATCCCCGTGCGTGTCTGGTCCGTGGCCCAGGTCTCTCCTGCTGGGGCGTCCGTGAGGGTCCCTGAGTGGCGGGAGCCCGGTCACATCTGTCATTGAGCCGACACTTTCACTGGTCACTTACTTCCGGCCAAGCCTCCCACTGTCCATCAGGTGGTGATTCCGCCTCCTGCCATCCACCTTCTGGTGAGATGCAGTCTCCTCCTACCCCCACGCCCAGGACAGCAACCTGCTCCCCCTTCCCTCAGCCAGCTCCCCTGCCATCGTGCAGACACTTGTCCCCCTGCCCTGTCTGCCCTCACGTCCTCAGAATCTGGTCAGGGTGTTTTAACCCTGAGCGTCACATGGGGAACGTTGCCTAACTATGGGGTGTTTGAAAGGGAGTCAATGACTGGACCAGCTGT